AGAAAATATCCTTGGAAAATGAAATAAAATGAGAATAAGCGAAGACAAGAATGAAGGTTAGAAATACTAGTATTTGAGTAACAAGTTATGATAGAACTTAGAGAAGGAGACTAACGTAGAGAGAGAGACAAATGTTTCTCAATCAGAGCTAACATATGGTACTTGTTAAAAAATACAAATTTCTGGATTCCATGTAGACCTACTGAATGTGGATCTTTTGGGGGGGCAGGTGTGTGTATTAGAAATAAGTTGATTCACACATGTACTGAGGTTTGAGCACCAGTGTTAGGGGAGGACAGTCAAGTTAGGGCAGTGTCTATAGAAGACTAGAAAGGTGTTTCAGAGATTCTTTGGGAAGGTTAATTCTTCTGATATAAAAAAGGTTAAGTAATAGATCATGTTGACTTGAACATTTCTTAGGCCAGAGGAGAGGAGGAAAGACTTATGGAATATTTTTTTAAATTATAAAAGAATTTATGCTCATCCAGAAAAATATAAAACATATGTACACAGACAAAAAATGAATCACCTATAATTGCATCTACCCAGATAGAACCAATGTCTATACTGATCTAGTGTCTGTCTTCTTTTATATTGCACGTATAAAAACACATGTAGTTATACAGATTTTACCCAAAATAGGATAATGCAAACATGCAAGAACCTATTTTACCTAATCTGTCACCTTCCCATATTATAGATAGATGATGTTTTATAACATTTTAAAAAATCCCACTTACAATGGAAGACCAGTGTCATCAGTTTAGTGTACTTCCTTCAAGACATTTCTTAGGCATGTGCAAACACTGTGTCAAAGCTGTGTGTGTGTGTATGTGTATATTTCAAATTGCAAGTGAGAGCACACTATTTATACCATTGTGCAACTTACTTTTTCATGCCAGTATGTATTACTCTAACACATTCTTTCCAACAGCTGGGTAGTAATCACATGAATCTGTTATAATTTATTTGAATCGATAAACTTCTAGGTTATTTTTAGTTTGCAGGTTTTTTTTTGTTTCACTGAATATTTCATGTATCTTTATGACTTTTGTGGAAGTATATATGTAGGATAAATTTTAGGAAGTGAAGTTGCAGGATCAAAGAGTTATGTGTATTTATTCAAAGTGTCCTGTATCTCTGTTCTGTGTATTCTTTATAATTGTTTTCTAATTGCTTTCATTTTTCTTTTGCATTCTGTGATTTTTTTTAAAACTTCGTTGGCGTTCATGTTTTTAGCAATGTCTGTTCTGTTTTTTTGTTACTTCTAAGGGGATTTCATTTTTTTAGTGGTATTTTTTTTTTTCTGGGTCTTTCCTGAGCTCTGGCAGCTCGTTTTTAGTTGTTCGCCTTGTCCACCTGTACTTTCTTGTCTCTCATCTACTTGTTTTTCAGATGATCTAGCTTCACTTTAATTTCTGGGACTATAACTAACACATTTAGTCCCTGCTTAGGACTCTTGTTTATTCACCCAGAATAGAGCACAAAGCAAAAAAGCAGTAAGTGAAAAGTTTATCATAACACAAAGGTATTCTAGGGGAAAACACTGTATTTTTGCTCCTCTTGTGAAATCTGTCTAAAACTACGTTCTCTCTAATTTTATCAGAGGCTGAAGAACCCCTGCTCTAGCTGCTATTCTTTCTTACCCCATCTGTCTTTACATCATTTCCAGAGATGATTATTTTTCTTTTTCTTTGCTTTACCAGAAATACATCATATCATCTCATCTTGGATTCACTTTTATGTTGCACACATATTCTCTAATAGTTTTTTTTTCTTCGTGAAATGGTATTTTACTTACGTTTAAGTTAAACACACGGTGGTGTAGTAGGGGGTCAGTAAATTGTTTTTTTTCCCTGTAGGTGAAGCAGAGTGTAAATACTTAATTAAACTTAGTTGCTTTTTTAATAATTTCAAAGAGTGGTATAAATTTTGAGGTACTATTAGGTAATATGAGTTAGAGGGGCATGATTATATTTGGATTTTTTTTTTTTTTTGCCTATATTCTTACGTGTTTTTTTTTTTCTTCAGTGTTCCTTCATGGGTCTCATATGGGATTCTATTTATTTATTGCTCAGCCTTGATAAGGGTGTTTTATCTGGGTGTGCTTTTTAGGAATTTCGGGGATAAAGTGAAGTAGCCTTGTCAAATCCAGGCTGTTGTCTCCGAGTACTCTGTTTCTTCTGCCTCAGGGACATGTCATGTGGCACCTTAGGGTGATGAGTGAATTAGTGTTTCTCTTTACAGTTGACTTTAGTCCTCAGCTGCAAAGGTAATTGCTGTTTCCTGTCTCATTTCCAGACTCCCCTTTCAGGCAAGGTTAGGAGTTGACTCAGAGAAAGCCATGTCAGGTGTGCCGTTTCCCCTGTCCTTCAGCATCGTTTTTCACGGCTGCCATTGTGGCATTGTGGGAATGAATTTAAGGTTATTTAATCACTCTTGTTTCTGGCATCTCGATTGCTTCTTATTTCTGTTATAAACTGTGGCGAATAGTTTATCAAACCTTTATGCACTATAGAGGAGTGGTTAAGAGCCCCAGTGCTGGAGTTAGAAAATTTGGATTTGAATCTCAGCTCTGCCATCTGCTGTGTGGGCCTGGGCAAATTGCTCAACTTTCCATGCCTCGGTTTTTCTCATTGTCAAACTGAAATACTGTTCTGCCAATCTTAAGGATCAAATAGGATGTTAACGTAAATCTCTTAGCAAAGCCCTTGCTGCATTATGAGCTCTCATTAGAACCCTAGATGTTCCAGGATCATTATTTGCTTTGACAAATTCCCAGACGTAATTGCTGGGTCAAAGAGTAGGAATATGAATATTTCCAGGGTTTTGACGTACATTACAAAATTGCTCTCCAGAAAGGTGGTGCCACTTTACTTAGGAGCTGACTTTGAGCGTTTCTGATTTTCTAGAACCCTTGTGTTGGCCCTTGTATTTTATGTTTTATGTGAAGCTCGAGGCAAGTCCATTTGCCACTGAGAGTTTCTGGCAGGTGAAGGAGTGCTGTGGGGGAAAAAGAGGAGTGAGTTGGCCTGGACAAATAAAAGGATTATCCTAACTTGTTTTCATAATTTTGGTCCTCTTGATCCTTTTGATCTGTTGGTAAACATTTTAATTCTTCTTTTGTTTTTTATAGTTCAAAGTGTTTCTCATAAATTATTTTCCATTTGATTCTCACAATAAACTTGTCTGGTAAGTTGGATGTTATGTACATCAATGGAACAGCTCCAGAGCCATTGCAATATACCTCAAAGAAAGGAAGCTAATGAGAGGCAGAACAGGGACATGAATGGTACTCTTTGAATCCTGACCTATCATTCTTTGTCTTGTGCTGTTGGGAACTCTTTTGTGTCATGCTCAGCCTTTCTCATGATGCTGCTTCAATTTCAGTAATTAATCAAATTGTGTTGTTATGCAGACCACTAGGACTTATCTTAGTTCAGAGTAGAATATCGTAGTAATTCTTTCTCTTTTTAAAAATTAAAATATTGAAATCATTAAAGAGGAGTGTGTGTTTGTGTGCCCCCACACACTTCAGTTTTATCTCTATAGTGAAAGAATATAAAATGAGAACTTCACTAACATGTAGTTTTTTTGAAGTTCTGATGGGGGGGATCTAGATTAAAGTTTGTTTGTGTACATAAATTTCTTCATAGTTCAAATTTATACTAACCAAATGTCTTGGAAACCTGAACTAGATAATTCTTGATAAGACCAGTTTGATTTTCTGAAAATACTTGAAACTAATTAAGCATTTCTTAAATCCTTATTGATTTGTAATTTTCTGGGTTTTAGAATTCAGTTCCCCATCCCTACCCTTTACTGTGATAAAACTTTTTCCGGAGAAGGCTCTGAGCCCAAGAGAGTCTTATCTGTTTTGTCTCCCTTGTATCCATAGCATGTAGCACAAATTTTAAATGACTGGAAAAGGTACTATGGTCAAATGTAGAAATTGAGTGGTAATGCCCTAAGTTGATTTAAATTCTCAAAGGTATTTTATTAAAGCATCATTACAAAGTTAGGACTTAGTTTTAGAGTTTCTCCCAAGGGGGGTATGTGTGTGAATTAAGTACTATTAATATTTAACTTGGATGTCTTTTGAATTTTAGTCATTGGTATGCTCCTAAGCTTCCTATATAAGGAATTTGTTTTAGTTCATCTGTCTTATTTGATATGTACAGATTTCATATTCTCATTTGTGTATTATCAAACCTTTCTGCCCAAGAAATAAGAATGTCTAAGGCCGGGCGCGGTGGCTCACGCCTGTAATCCTAGCACTCTGGGAGGCCGAGGCGGGCGGATTGTTTGAGCTCAGGAGTTCGAAACCAGCCTGAGCAAGAGCGAGACCCCGTCTCTACTAAAAATAGAAAGAAATTAATCGGACAACTAAAAATATATAGAAAAAACTAGCCGGGCATGGTGGCGCATGCCTGTATTCCCAGCTACTCGGGAGGCTGAGGCAGAAGGATTGCTTGAGCCCAGGAGTGTGAGGTTGCTGTGAGCTAGGCTGACGCCATGGCACTCACTCTAGCCGGGGCAAAAAAGTGAGATTCTATCTCAAAAAAGAAAAAAAAAAAAGAATGTCTAGAGCATTCACTGTTGCTATAGAGATAAAAATGGCTTTGGGGCAGCAGGAAAGCTGGAATTCTTTTTGTGATATTCTCTGTTTAAGATTTTAAAAAGCTCTTCAATTATTTCTTATTGAAGTTTTGCAATAAAAAAGGGCAGTGAGATTGAATAGATATAAGAGTAAAATACTTTATAATTTTGAATCTAAAAGTAAGATTTTTGTAATAATTTTCTGCCTTGTTAATGCACCAATATTCCTATATTTTTCAAATATGTTGGATTACTAAGTAAATTTTTAGGGCTCAGAATATTTTTATTTGCTTTTCTTTTTCTTTTTCTTTAAATGAGTTTAAAGAAATTATTTTAACACAAAATGCATGCCTGAATTACTAAGATCAATAAATAAATTATTTTCTTTTAATTTTTTTTAGATGTTTTGTAGATTAATTCTTCATTGATTACATAAGACAGCAATATAGTTATGGCGACTTTCCAGCCTTTCAGAAACAGTCACATGAAGACTAGAGCATCTGTCAGAAAAGTAAGTTCACTATATTAGGTTTCTTCTAAGTGATAGTTTTAATAAAAATGTTGATTTTTTTTTTAGAGTCCTACAGCTATGATACTTTGTCTTTAAATGAATCTTATTAAATTAGTAACAATACAATACTACAAAGATTGGCATGTATGAAAATAGCAATATGAAATCATGATCACAATGATTTATTTCCTAAAGATCACAGTGCCTCCTTCCCATTTCTTTTCAACAGATAGTTTTCTATCTGCTTTTTAGCAATAGAGGCCACTTTGTTACATACCTTTAACTTTACCCTGAAGATATATAAGAAATATTACCATTCATTCGTTCAGCAAGTATGCACGTGAGTGCTTATTATATGCCCGGCCCTGTGATAGATTTTGGGTAATCAGTAGCAAACAAATGAAATATGATTCTTGATCCTTTCTTCTTTCTAGTCTAAGGAAGAACCCCTTCACTTCCTCTCTTAAAACAATCTGGTTAACCTTCCATTTCTTGACATTTTTTCTTTGCTAAAACTTTGGAGGCATTACTTAAAGGAAGAAGGGAAGAATAGAAACTGGTTAGCAGTCTTCTTTAGCCCTTTTTCTGAACTTCATCTTCTCTGCAGCATATGACACTGTTGACCAGTCCTTACATGTGAAGGTGGTCTTTGACTTCTTTCATTAAATTGTTTTTTCTTGCTTTCTTTCTCTTTTATGGTAACTCCTCTCTCCTTTGCTGATCTGCTTTCCAACTTCTAATTGTCAATGTTCTTATAAGCATCTGAGTCAACTTTTTGATCTAGTCATTGATTTCTGTAGAGAGCTAACAAATGTATGGGGTTGACTGCTAACTCTAAGAGAAAAACTTCCATTCATTAATGAAAACAAAATTGTTTAAAATATTGAATATTTTCAAGTCCACAGAAAAGCTGGAAAAAAAACTCAGTACAATGAACACCTCATATACTCTTCATTTAAATTCACCCTCTGTTAACATTTTGCCATACCTATTCTCTCTCTCTCTTCCCCCCTTTTACAATTGTATGAGAGTAGGCTACAGACATTATTTTACTTTACTTCTAAGTATGCCAGCATCATTACCACCCCTAAAGAAGATAATTAGTTCAATTCACATCATGTAACTTGCAGTCCATACACAGATTTCCCTAATTGCCTCAAATATTCTTGTAACTTTTTTTTTTTTTTTTTGCCTCTCCTCTAAGATCCAGTCAAGGTTTATACACTGCATTTGGGTATTGTGTCTCTTTGGCCACCCCCATTCCAGATCATTCCAATAGGTGAGATTCTTTTCTCATGACAATAAATCTTCGGAAGAGTCTGGGCCCGCTGTCTTGTAGAACATCCTCATATTCTGGGTTCATCTTTTTTTTCCCATAATTAGGTTTAGCAGGAGCACCTCAGAGGTGATGTTATGTTCATTCCACTCTAGCAGATCGTGAGGTGCATATTGTTGATGCCAAGCTTGATCAGGTGGTTAAGATTATAACCACCAGATATCTCCAATATAAATGCACATAATCCCTTTGTAAGTAATACAATTAATAAATAATCTGTAGGGTGATACTTTGAGACAGTGTGAATATCCTGTTCCCTACTAACTTTTAACCCAGTAGATTTAGAATACACTGATGATCCTTTCCTAAATCAGTAATTACGTTGAGAGTTACAAACAGGGTTTTCTAATTTTGTTATTCTATCCATATTTGTTAGCCAGCATGCTTAGATAAAGAAGAGCTCTGCCCTTTTCTCTTTCTTTTTTAATGGACTCATAGATTTTTTTGAAAAATTCAGTAGTTATAATCCATTACCATTTTTATTCTTTTTGATGCTCCAATTGTCCTAAATTTGAACAATGGAAATTCCTTCAAACTGGCTTCTGTGTTTTTTTGAAATGACCCTATTAGTCTTTGAGTAGCATTCTGGTACTGTTGGATTTTCCAGGCTCACTTCATATTTTCTCCACCTCAGACCTGGAACCAGCCATTTCCCTGGGGCGCTCTAGTTCTTTTTATTGGTGATGGATACTTAGAAACCCAAATCTAGGGACTGGCTATACTCATTGCTACTGAGGGTCATTGCACTTTTCAATGAAAAAAGGTAGTACATATATTTATGAATTCATATTAATAGGTCAAATTCAACATTATATCTTTTTTCTTAAATTATTTGATTTTATATTTGCATCTTTTAGACTAAAGATTTCCATTAATTTTAATTTATTAAAATTAGCAACTGTTTGTTGAGTTCGTCTAGTATGAGGTTCTGAAATCTGGGGAAACACAGTGAGTGAAATAGTCTCTGACCTCCATGATCTGGTTTAATGGGTAGGAAAGACAAATATATGTGAGTATAGTAATTATAATATGTTGTGATATGAACTAAATGATCTTGATGTACAAACAATACAGCAGGAACTTAGAGATGGAAAAAATCTTCATGGGTCTTAGGATGGGTAGGATTTCTACAGGGGAAGATGGGGGAGTAAGAACATTTCTGACAGAAGAACAGATCAACAAATCAGTGGAATTGGAATAAGGTAGAAGGAAATTAGTGCTCTATTTGTGTCTGCCTATTAATATAATAGTCATCATTTTCTTTATGTAACTTTTTCCTTCCTCTGTTCCTTTGTGCACTTGTGACAGCCACTGCCCCCCATCCCTGAAATCTGGAATCCTCTCTCTCATTTTCATCATATAGCTGCCTTAATACCCCTGAAAAACCTTATTTTGGATTACTGTCTCTTCCTTTTCTGTCTTCATCTTTGTTAAGGGAGTAATCACTATTGTTAGTGTGCCTTACAATAGCTTCTGCATCCTCTCAACTTGTTGTGTAAGTTGTTGCTTCTCATCTGCTAATGACTTGAAAATCGGATATGCCATCTGTTAGGTTTTAGTGTAAGGTAAGAGTGAGTAGACTTGGTGTGAGGCCTTATGTGGTCTTCCAGGGAGTTGAATGCCCAGACTAGGGTGTATGTGTGTGTTTGGGCATGTGGAACTCTACTTAAGCCTTTTCAGCTGAATGGAGTTTTTCTTCTTCTCAGTTGAATTGAGTTCTGCCTACAATTATCAAAAGGTCCAAAATCAATATTAATTGGAGAATGAGTGACTCTCCATGTAAAATATCTCCAGGATGTCTTATTTTATAATTAAATAAATTAAGAATGTCTTTTTTCCCCAGAGCTTCAGTGAAGATGTATTCCAGTCCATAAAGTCATTACTACAGAGTGAGAAGAAACTGTGCAGTATATCAGCAGAGGACTGTTTAAAGCAGGATGAACGTGCCAATTTAACTGAGGTTTGACATATTACTTTCTAACCCCTTTCCTAGTAATGCACAATGTATTTTCATACATCTTTGTAGCACTGCATGACCTATTTTTAAAACGCCTAAAATCTCCACAATATTATTACATGTATTTAAAGTACTTGTTAATAAGTACTGGCTAGCATACATGATTGTCTTAATATATTATAATGAGCACATTTAATTCTGTGCATGGGTGTCATTGACCACTCATTGGACATATACCAATGTCACATATTAGATGATTTCTACTATGTTTAATAATTGGTTCTTTAATACTAATTTTTTCTACTCCGAAACATAAAATACATACATATTTCTTATATTCACTTTTTGGGTTGTTTTCTTGACTGTTTAAATTCAATACATTGATTCAAAATGAAAAAGTAGTAATAAGTTTATCTTTGAAATTAAAATATTTACTCTTTAACTTGAGCTTGAGATATACAACTTGCTCACCTATTTCTCTGCTACATCCAGTGTGTCCAATCTTTGTTTGAATTTATTACCATAAAAAGGAGTAAGATTTTTTTCTGTAATATATTTATAGTTCATCATGACCTTTATGCTACCAAATAAGAGATGTGGTATGAGGTCATTGCAGCTCAAAACTGATGAATATGGCTGGGTGTGCTGCCTCATGCCTGTAATCCCAGCACTCTGGGAAGACGAGGCGGTAGGATCACTTGAGGCCAGGAGTTTGAGACCAGCCTGGGTAACATAGTGAAACTCCGCCTCTACAAAAATTAAAAAAAAAAAAAAATTAGCTGGGTGCAGTGGTACGCGCCTGTAGTCGCAGCTACTCAGGAGGCTGAGGCAGGAGGATCACTTCAGCTCAAGAGTTTGAGGGTGCAGTGAGTTATGATCGTGCTACTGCACTCCAGCCTGAGCAACAGAGTAGGACTTTGTCTCTCAAAAAATAACTAAACAAAACTGATGAGTATTTTAGAGCAATATTTTTAAAATGAGAGTTCTAACAGAAATCTTGAGTACAGTTGCTCCTCTACTTACAATGGGGCCATGTCCCAACAAACCTATTGTAAGTTGAAAATATCATAAGTGAATGCATTTAATACCCCAATAAATCCATTCTAAACTTGAAAAATCATAACTTAAGCCATCATAAGTTGGGGACTGTGTATATTCTTCATGTGTATTCTTATTTTCAGGAATGATTTTCTTTCATATTTTTTAAGAAATTCCCTGTTTGATGTTTCATAGGAAGATGAATATACCTTTTAGGCTTATAGTGTTCTGCCACCTGAAGCTCTTCTTTTTGTCAGCTTAATTTCTGTGATTCTTGACTATTAACTTCTTTGCTATCCTTTTTCATTTTATTTTAGTAAAGCCGAGCTACTCTTAATCTACTTGGTTATTGCCAAGTGTGACAAGTCTCCTGTGTCCTTCTGCCCTCCAGCAGTTCCCAGCTCCTCTCTCCAGCTCCTTACATAGTGCCTTTCCAAGTTCACATTCCCTGGTGAGGCCTTCCTTGACCAATGGGAAGTAGAAAACTCTCCAGGCAACTTCAAAACCCTATGTCCGCCTTTTTTCTCTTTTGTGTTCAATTAAAGAAACTTGAAAGAATAGAAGGAATTTCTGTCCCACTTTAGGATGTGCAAATCTCCAAGTATCTTTTCGAAGAAAGGAAGGAAATTTGTTATTCGTGTATCTATTTGTTATTGAATGCCTGTCATGTGCCAGGTACTTTCTTCTGCATTATCCAATTAACCCACACACCTGTGGGAGAGAAGTTGTATTGCCTTACGTTTTATAGATGAGGAGACAGGATCCTAGAGAGTAACAATTTACCTAGATGCCTGGAAGTTAACTGAAACACTTGTGTGAAGTAATAAACCATATTTAATCAGAATAAAGATCCTAGGATAATTTAAGATTCTGACTTGCTTCTGAGTCATCAGAAAGAGATCGAAAGTGTATTAAGTGTTGCTTTATATTTTAACTATGCTGTTTTCTCCTGATTCTTGAGAACTGATCATCCGTATTGCTATCATTTTAGTATTGTATATTTTTAGCGACAGTACTTGTTTAGTAGACAGTTTACTATTCTATCCTTAAATGGAAAAAATTTCTTACTGTGATGCCAAAAATATAAAGAAAATATAAATTTAAAAAAATAACATTTTTTTCAGGTTATGAAAGTAGTACATATTCTTTGTAGAAAAATAAGAAACACTGAAAGTACAAAAAAGAAAATGACTATTATTGATCCTATGAATTAGAGGGAGAAAAAGCAGAGTAGACAAATACAAGATCACTTATGACTCCATCAACCAGAATTAATCACTATATTACCACGTATAGTTTGATGTCTCACCTTCCAGTACTATTTTCCATGTGTATGTTTTTTAAAATAAGATTGAATTATGTGTGTATCATTTTTCTATAACTTGTCCTTTTTACTTAATAATGTGACATATCTTCATGCCAGTAGATATTCTTGAGAAATTTATATAAATTTGTGCAGAGTAATCTCTGTATAAGGGTGTGGAAGGAAATGATGTTGTCACAGGAGCTAGTGAGCAAGTAGCCTTGGGGATCTACTCAGAGAAGGCATCTACAAGGAGGTGACATTTGAGTAGAAACTTGAAGGAGGAGGAGCCAGGCATGACACCATCCAAGGAAGAGAGATCCAGACTGAGGGGCGCAGCTGCAGAGCCCTTAGGCAAGAATGTACAGGCATGTTCTAGACCCGGACAGGGGGCCATGTGTATAAATGAAAAGGAGGGAAGGCTGAAGGTATCAGCTAAGCCCCGTCAGGATTTTGCTGTGGAAAGCATGGAAGAGAAGTGCATGGTAATGGTGGTAATGGGACCAGGTGGGAGAGGATTGTAGTGTGAAATGCAGGTGAGAAGGGTGGCAAGGGGTTATGCTAAGAAGTGGATGTATTTGAAAGATGTTTGGGGGTAGAATTGATTGAACTTGCTAGTGAGGGAGATATGAATGAGCTTGAAGAACTCTGCCTTTTGGAGCCAAATCTTTCAAATATGTGAAAAACATATTTGATTATCTTTGAAAATATTATTCTGTCCAAGGCAGTCAGCATTCTAATGCTTTGTTTTTTCCTGTTTCTCAGCTCTGTCAACAATCTGAGACAAGATTTAAAAATTCAAATTAATGGAGCTTTTTTCCTTTTTTATTCAGGTCACCTTTCTGGGTTTTAATGAAGAGACAGATGCTGCTCATATACAGGTACGGTCAATTTATTGAACTGGAAAGGACCTTAAGAAATTATTTGGAACAAATTTTGAGACCACAGAAAAATTGCCTTAATGCCCCAAATTTACACTAAACTCTTCTGATATCTTTCCTTTTAAAAGTTAAAAGGATGACATTTTGAGGTCAACTTTCGAGTGTGCTTTGGACATTTTCACTTTGAGCATTTTTACTGAATACCTTTGTTACAGAGAGCAGCTTTAGGATTGAGCACAAAAGTCATTTATGTGAGAAGGTTATAAACTACAGGCTGGCTGACTTTTTTTTCGTTCTGTGCATAATATAAAATGTAAGACTTGTTTCTTTATTTTGATGGTTTTCATAATTTGACTTCAGTAGTAGAAAATTTTTTATTTTTAGTCGAGATAGAATTAAATTTAAAAAATAAAATTTGTAAAAAGTAACAATTAGCCAATGCAAACATTTTAGCCTGTTTGATTTAGACAGTTATTTGCAGCAGGACTGATATTTGAGATCAGGTGCGACAAAGGAAAGCTTCACAGTTATGTGAACGGTAGTTGAAGCTTGTGTAGACATGGTAGGCATACTATTTTTTTTACTCCCTCATGCTACTTCTTAAAAATTGGTGATTGCTACATGTTTCCTTTTGTGGCAATAAAGTGTCTCCTAATAGAGGAAGAGATAACATTATTCAGTTCTTTTTGAATAATGCATATCAGGTGGTTATGAATAAAAATTCCGTTGTGTGTTCTGATTGTGCCCTTGCTCGAAGGAAATAATCTGGACAGAAGGAACAAGAGAGGACGTATTTCTGAGAACATGTATGGTTGGGAAGAGAAATGTTTCAAAGTATTTCTCTAATACTGTCCTTCTCCTTTAAGAGTTACTGATAAAACCATGTTTATAAAGGAAAGTACTCTATAAGGGGTCAAAAACTTTAACAAGTCTTTAACTGGGTAAAATATTTACATAAAAAGGGCAAACAAGAAAAAATAAAAGCTATTTTCTTTTCCTTTAATTTTCATAAAATTTTCTATTACATTCTTTTTTTTTTTTTTTGAGACAGAATCTCACTCTCTTGCCTGGGCTAGAGTGCCGTGGCATCATCCTAGCTCACAGCAACCTCAAACTCCTGGGCTCAAACAATCCTCCTGCCTCAGCCTCCCAGGTAGCTGGGACTACAGGCATGTGCCACCATGCCTGGCTAATTTTTTCTATTTTTAGTTGTTTGGGCAATTTCTTTCTATTTTTAGTAGAGACGGGGTCTCGCTCTTGCTCAGGCTGGTCTCTAACTCCTAAGCTCAAATGAGCCGCCCGCCTGGGCCTCCCAGAATGCTAGGATTACAGGCATGAGCCACCGTGCCCAGCTTAAATTCTAATATAATAAATTGGAGAGGAAAGACAGTAAAATGGACTTGTATTTTACAAAGTTAAAACTTATAGCTTTTAGCCAAAAATCGAATATGAAAAATTACAGAGTTAAACCTGAGGACTGTAGGTTGACATCTGCTAGAAACTATTAAGTGCCTAATTTTCATGGATGTGTGAGGTGTTATGTAAAATTTTATTTATAGATAAATAAATTTTATAGATTTATTTATAGATTTATAGATCAGTACATTTGAAAGGCTACAGGAATAGCCAGTGTTAAATAATTTTAGTACATTTTTGAGTTTTAAAAAAATTGTCTGTGGGTAATAAACTGCATATGTTAACTATTACGAACCAGAAAATTTATTAAACAGTAGACCTTATAATTTTTGAGTAGGGCCCACGTTATAGGAACCTTAACAAAAGTGTTTTTCTACAGTGTTATTTATTGTTATTATTTTAAATTAGGATTTAGCTGCAGTTTCTTTGGAACTTCCAGATCTTCTGAATTCACTTCACTTCTGCAGTCTAAATGAAAATGAAATTATTTGTATGAAGGATATAAATAAATCATCAGATATAAGCAGTGGTCCTCTAAATCAGGTAACTTTTATAGATAATTTCTAATGAGTCTTTCAGGGAAAATTTTACTATAATTGATAAAGAGTATTAAACTTTTAAATGCTTGGATAAAGTTTTTTTCTTTTTTAATGCTATCTTAAGGTAATACAATTTCTAAGAAATATAACTGATGAAATGTTGACATCCCTGAAGAATACAATAATTTTGGTCATAGCTTATAAATTAGATTTTCCATCTGTGAAGTTCCAAATATATATTTTAAATATATTAATAGGTATGCAAATACATATTAATTTTTTCTAAAAAAAATATTTTTCCTGGATTTCTTGAACAACTTTTACCTTTATATAAGGTATAGAGACTTTTCCCTTTTATGGCCGGTTTTAAATTTATATAAATGTGCTATATGTTTTAGAGAATATACTTCAGCTCCTTTTCCAGTTTTAAAAATATTCCATCTAAAGTGGACGTCTGATAATCTTTATTTCTAAACAAAAATGTTACCATTTCAAATAGATGGTTAGTTTTAAAATACTCAGTGCTTAGTTCTTTACCAAGTATATGATTTTGTTAATAATGCATCACAGAAAAATGCTTTGTATTGTAGGAGGTAAGACATATGCAATTGAGCCAGTAGGTTTAAGGATTACTTATTCCAAGTATTAAAAAACTGCTGTATTCTTTATGAGATCTACTGATAAAAGTAGAACTGCCTGCCTCATTTCTTTAATTATATTCTTCATTCATATTTACTCTGCTGTGTTTGCTAGGATATAAGAGGTGATTATTATATTTGGTTTATAGTTTTTTTACTAAATCATTCCTCAATATTTTTTAGATAATATATGAGGGAAAATCTGGTAACTTGTATTCTTAAAGCTGTAAACATTATTCTAAGTTGTAATACTAGGGAAATTTAAGTAAAAGGAGGAGACATTTCTTTTTTTGTGATAGGAGGGAAGATGGCATCATTCTGGAAGATATGGGAAAATGGGATAAAAACAAAATGGAACCTGATTCCTGCCTTCAAGCAGTTTGCAATATAGTTGGTGAGATAGGTGAATGATTAAATAAGGAAAATCACAGGGCTGTGTAGTAATATAGGAAAACATAATTGCTCAAAGGAGTGGATAGGTAGTAAGTTCTATAACATGTAAGGAGAACAGACTAGGTAGAGTTTGAATACCTGGGTAAGAGAAAGATGGGAGAAAAAGAGACTGGGAAGTGAGAAATGGAGAGAAAGTATGGAGAAAAGAATTAAATATTACAAAACCAGGAGCCCTTCAGTATGTATATGTTTCTTGTTTGTTTGCTTATTTTCTCGTCTGAGATTATCTTGTTTCTAGGCTTTACTTCCAGATAATATGTTTTGTATTTGAAATTAAAATTATTTTTATCATCTTTCATCTTTCCCAAGAGCCGTCATTCTGAAATGCTTTGTGTCATGAGAGTGTCACCTGCATTACCAAGACTCAGAATTGATTTCATCTTTAGTCTCCTAAGTAAATATGCTACTGGTATGAGATACACCCTGGACACGTACTCGCATCAGAAGTGCCAACTTGAGACCACTGATGAAGATGATGATGATACTAACCAGTCCGTGTCTTCCATAGAGGATGACTTTGTCACTGCTTTTGAGCACTTAGAGGAAGAAGAGACTTCAAAGCCATTTAGTGATGGTTTGTTTTTTATTAGACTTTTTCTTGAAATGGAACAAACTTTAAAATTCACTTTTGAAAGTTTTAAGGCAGATGTGTTCAGTTGAAATTTATGTTGAAATTTGATCCAATTTAAACAATTTAACCTTTTTTCTGATTGCTTGAAGAATTAATTTCCTTGTGATTTTAAGTTCATTGTTATCTGGTTTCTAGTTTTGCTATTTCTGTTCTTATTTAGGCAGTACTGTTCAAGTGCTGTTTACATCATTACTTTAAGAGTCTGGAGCATGCCTAGCTTCAAATTTCAGAAGAGTTAGCTGGTAGAGTCACCATAGTAATATTTCTAACTTGCTTGACAGTATGTGAAGCATTCCATATATCAGGTATCCCCAAATATAGGGTAAAATGAAATTATTTTAGTAAAAGATATATTTGCTTTCCAGTGTTACTTGGGGTGAATCTTTCTGTTAAACAACATTGTTTAGAAGATACTTGTATTATAAATGAATATTTCATGTTTAAAGTCGATTTATTCAATTGATTTAAATTAATTTCTAAAAATTTCTGTTCAAGAATAATTTAATCATTTTACTCTTTTCCTATAGGAATAAACATCACTACACTTAGAAGCCAGTGTGATGCTGCTGCGCAGACTGTTTCTGGTCCTCATTTAGAAACCGATGATTTAAGGATTCTGGTTAGCTCCGGACGGCAGAAGTCATTAGCTAAACCCTCAACTTCCTTAACAAATGTTCAGGGACATAAAGAACTACCTTCTGTGAAAACTTCAGTCACAACATCAATTTCAGAGCCTTGGATCCAAAAGAGTTTCTATAGGTCATCTAATACTTCAGATAAAGGTGATGATATACAGAAAATGTTTTTTTCTTCTTCTCCTGCCTACTCATCTGAATCAGAATGCTCAAGTCCAAGTCCTGTTATTTTCTTGGATGAAGAGGGATATCAAAAAAGTTTAAAAGCAAAACTTGAGCTCCCTAAAATTCCTGTGATGAAAGATGATATAGAGGATTCAGACTCAGAAGTAAGTGAATTTTTTGATAGTTTTGATCAATTTGATGAAGTAGAACAAACTCTAGAGACTTCCTGTCTGTTTATAAAAGATCCTGTCATAGAGAAGTCATCACAAAAGAAAGGGCACAAACATGGAAAATCTTGTATGAATCCTCAAAAATTTAAATTCGATCGTCCAGCTCTCCCAGCTAATGTTAGAAAGCCAACTCCTCGTAAACCAGAATCTCCATATGGTAACCCGTGTGATGCTCCAGATTCTCCTCGCCCAGTGAAGGCAACTGGGGAAGATAGTGGTTTATTTAGCCCTATTCGATCCTCTGCATTTAGTCCTCTTGGAGGCTGCACTCCAGCTGAGTGTTTTTGCCAAGCAGATAATGGTGGAGATAGGATTCATGAAAATCATGATTCTATTTATTATACCTATGAAGACTACGCAAATAGTGTTTCCTGTGAAGTACTAGGCTCAGTTCTTTATACCCAACATGCTAATGCCATATCAAACGTTAATAGTTCTGAAATTGGAGAAAATAAAACTGTAGCTCTTAAGCATGGAAACCTTGATCAAAAAAGTAAATCTAAAAATAAATCCTTAATGATTAAAGATAGCATTCAAAAATTTGCAGCAGATCTTGTGGAAAAAAGTTTTGGCAGTGCATTTAAAGACTTACAGAAAGGAGTCTCTTCATGTACCAATGCATTGTGCCACTTAGCCATCAAATTGACATCATCCGTTTTTCAGATGGCATTTAATGAACTGAGAAGGCAGCATGCATTTTCACTGAAAGAACGTGCCATTAGTGGCCTGGCTAATTTTTTGGTGAGTGAAGCTTTATCAAATGCCTTAAAAGATTTACAGTATGTAAAGAAGCAGATATTTACAAACACAGTTGCCAGGTTTGCTGCAGATCTTGCTGAAGAACTTGTTTTCGAAGGCATCATGGAAGTGTGTCAGTTTTCATATCCTCCAACCCCTGCATCTCCACAGTGTGGGTCGTTTGACTTTGAAGACAAAGTAGTGAAGTCGTATGCAAAAGATTTGTCTGAATCTGTAATACAGGAAGCATTCATTGAGCTATCACAAGTTGATGTGACCTTCACAACAAAGGCAGCGGTTAGTGTCTCTACAGATAACATCAAGTACGCCAGCGCAGAAAGTGTAGTGCCATTGGCACAAACCATCACGTTTTCCCCTTCTTTTCACAATCAAGCAATTATGGTGACAAAACCAATGCAGGAATATAAAAAGGAATACACAGTGCAGCAGGCCTTGTTTTGTACTTCTGGAATTGCTACTTCTATACCAGTGCCCTTGGCAGGAAGTGCCCTTCTCCCATATCATATTTCATCTGATGTGTATCAGGCAAAGTCTCATCTGTCATCTGATGATAGTATTTCAAATGGTGATTCTACCCAGGCGCATGTTACCACAAAAAACAATGAAGAGGAAGTAGCTTGTCTCCGAAATATTTGCTTACCTTCAGAACACAATCCAGGTAACCAGAAGGATTTTAAACCAACTAACGATGATAGTGAAATGCAAAGTTCTTCAAAATTAACAAGTGATCCTGTGATTATTAGCAACTTTTCTGCAGCAATGGTGCATACGATAGTAAATGAAACTTTAGAGTCAGTGACATCATTTGAAGTCACAAAAACAGTTGATGAACACACGGATTATTTAACAAAATCAACAGAGGGAAAAAACCCTTCCCACTGTGATCAAGCAACACTGCAACAGAGTGAAGCTAATGATAAGGATGTGTTTGCTGACCAGTTATCTAAATCTATTATTAAACAGTCTATAGATAAAAGCAAATCAGTGATCCCAAATGTAGATAAAAGTGCAGCATATAAGGAAAGCTTGCCTGTTCCTGGAGAAGAATCACAGTTCACACTGGAAAAGTTCCCCAAATTTCTTGACTCTCAAGATCACAGAAGTCACTGTTCACTTTCAGTTGGAAAGGATTGTGTTCCAGGATGTAAAGGTTCTATGGTTCATGGATTTTCTTTAGAGACACTACCACCTTGTCTAACTACGGTGGATCAGAAACCTGATTTGAAGGAACTTGCTAAGGATAAACCAATGAAAAAGCATAATTTGAAAAATACATCACTTGAGCCCTTTTCTTTTGGACAGGAAAGCACCTTTCCTCATTCACATACATTCTCCTCGGCAGTGCTTACTTGTGTAGATGGTTTGCATGTGGAAGATAAACAGAAAATCAGAGACAGAAATGTAATACCTGATACTCCTCCATCAACTCCTCTAGTACCATCCCAGGCTAGTTCTGAATGGGATATCAAAAAGTTAACTAAAAAGCTCAAGGGGGAGTTGGCCAAAGAATTTGCTCCCGCTACACCACCTTCTACACCTCACAACTCATCTGTTGGTAGTTTGTCTGAAAATGAACAAAATAGTATAGAAAAAGAAGAGTTTATGTTGAAACTCATGCGATCTCTTTCAGAAGAAGTTGAGAGCAGTGAAGGTGAAGAGCCTTCCGAAGTAGACGTGAAGTCAGAGCACTCAGGGAAGAAAGTTCAGTTTGCAGAAGCATTAGCTACACACATCATTTCTCTTGCAACTGAAATGGCAGCTTCCCATTTAGATCATAAAACAATTCAAGAACCTAAACTTAACAGACCTTGCATAAATGCACAAAGTCAAAGAAGTATATCACCTACTTTTTTAAATCACTCAGCTGAACATTTACAAACATTATGCAATTTTGCAGGTGATATGGCAGCGGAAGTCATTACTGAAGCTGAAAAAATGGCAAAAGTTAAAAGTTGTGTGCTTTTCAGGCAAAAGAACAGTTGTTATGTTGATGGTGACCAAGATTATAGATCAGAAGAGAATTTGGACATAGAGGCCCTAGCACACCCAAGAGAAGTAGATCCATTTGTTCTTTCATTACCACCAAGTTCTTGTATGTCAGGTCTGACATACAAATATCCCAGCTGTGAAAGTGTGACAGATGAATACGCAGGTCACGTTATCCAAATACTAAAACAGGAAGGCGGTAATAGTGAGTTAATAATGGATCAGTATGCCAATAGACTTGCCTACCGATCTGTGAAATCAGGATTGCAAGAAGCAGCTAAGACAACCAAAGTGAAGTGCAGCTCAAAAATGTTCCCTGTGCAAAGCTTACAGGGGAAAACAAACAAGGAACTGCTGATGTTCTCAAATAAAGACTACCACCATGTACATAAAAAAAGACAAAGTAAAAGAAATGGCAGTAAAAATCAAACTGGTAACTTTTGTAAAAATCAAACTTGTGAAAGGATCCAGGATACATATGGAAATGAGTGCTCTGAACTGTATAGTTTTTCAACTTCTCTTGCTCACAGCATAGCAAGAGATGTTAAAAAAGAGTTTATAGCATCTACAGTTGGCTTGCCAAAATCCTTAACAGATTCTTGCCTGTATGAAAAATCAGTATGTGATGAAGATACTGAATGTCACGTTGAACCAAAATTACCTGAGTCTCTTCAGCCTTCCTCGCAAAATCATAGGTTTTACCACAGTACAGGCAGCTTAAATGGAGAGAATGTTGTTCAAGCTATAGAACAGTATGCTAAAAAAGTAGTGGATGACACTTTAGAGCTAAGTTTAGGATCTACAGTTTTCCAAGTGTCTGAGACCACAAAATCAGTGGACAGGATCACTTATGCAGAAAAGTTGTCGCCTCTTATAAGTCAAGCCTGCAGATATTGTGACCTTAAAGAACTCCATGATTGCACCGGAAATTCATCTCACCACTTTTTCAGACAGCGTTCACTTACATGTAGTAAGCCAGCTTCTAATTCAAAATTTAGCAGCATCTATCAGAAATCTAGAATTTTTCACCTCGATGTCCCTCAAATTCATGTTAATCTTGATAAGACAGTGCTTGCTGAGAAGATAGTTGCTGAAGCTGTTGAAAAAGCAGAGCGAGAGCTGAGCAATGCCAGCTTGGCGGCTGACAGTGGCATTGGACAAGATGGTGCCAGCTTTGCTGAGAGCCTTGCCACAGAAATAATGACATCAGCTGTGGCGAATGTCGGACATGCTGTTAGCAGGTAAGTTTCAAGTTTCTTTGGTTGTTAATGATGAAATGAAAAATTAAATGCAATCACATATGTCTTAGGTCCTGTTAAGAAAGGTATGATTATTTTTAACCCTAAATTTGCAAAAATTTTTCCTATTGCCTGTGTGTATTATTTCATATCCTACACATGGCTGTCATATATCTTTTCTCCTGATCCCTTTTAAGGGAAGGCTTTATCCACTTACAGAGCTGGAAGATGAGGGCAAGAAGATAATCACCTTGGCCAAGTTCACAGAGCTGTGAAGTAGGTAAAGTGGAATCAAAGAAACAGCTGGAGAATTTTATACAGTAGTCCTCTCTTATCCTTGGTTTTGCTTTCTGCAGGCTGAAAAATATTAAATGGGAAATTCCAGAAATAATTCATGAGTTTTAAATTGCACACTGCCCTGAGTAGCGTGATGAAATCTCATGCCATCCTGCCTGGGTTGTGAATCATCCCTTTCCATACTGTGTATGTTTCCCACCTGCTGGTCACTTAGTAGCAGTCTTGGTTATCAGATTAAAAAAAACATGGTATATGTAAGGTTCAGTACTATTCACAGTTTTAGGTATCTCCTGGGTGTCTTGGAACTTATCTTCTGCAGATAAGGGGGGATTATTATCTAGAAAATATAGAATATTACCACATTAATTTACTACTCTAAGGTTAAATTTTCTACAGTGTTTTCTTTTTTCTGTTCACCGTGTAAGTTTTCTTATAAAGAGCATGGTTTAATCAAACTTCTCTGAGGGAGAAAGGAAAAGTTCTCCAAATACTTTCACCACTGCCACCACCTCTCTTTATTTATTTATTTATTTTCAGCATATTATGGGGGTACAGATGTTTAGGTTACGTATGTTGCCCTTCCGCCCCCCCCCCAAGTCCAAGTTTCAAGCGTGTCCATCCCTTGGATGGTGCGCATTGCACTCTTTGTGTATGCATATACCCGTCCTCTCCTTCCCTCCTCCCCAACATCCAGTAGATGTTATTCTTATATGTACACTTATGTGTTGATCAGTTAATACCAATTTGATGGTGAGTACATGTGGTGCTTGT